ATAAGTCTGGATTGAAGCTTATTGACTTAAGCTTTACTGCCTCTCTTTGATTATTTCTTCTTTAAACCAGCTTGTTTTTGCTACTTTTAATATTTCTAGTATTTGATCATATACTAACATATTATGTGATATAATATGTTTTGGATCATATATTGCTAATTTTTTAGCAATGTGCTCTATATTACTTGGGTTTTGTATAGAAGTTTTAAGAACTTGGTCCAGAATTCTACAGTCTACATGTCTTCGGTTTCTATCTCCTATTATTCTAATATAGGATATGATATCTGCATTGCAATTTTTATTTATTAGTACTATGTTACTAGTTCTATAATAGTGCTTGCTATTTTCTAATTAGGCACGAAACCCATTTGTTTGTTGTTATTTGTTGTTGCTACAATTATTATATGTTTTGTTTTTCATTTTTTAAGGTAATGTCAATTTCCCAAAATTTTCTATTTTTTTGCTGAAAAAATTGCTGTTTTTTATTAATATCTTAGCCAATTTTCTTTGTCTTCTAACTTTTATTGTATTATATGTATTTTTTTCTAATATAGCTTTTTTGTTAGTTGTTTAAAGGATGTTTGCTAGTCTATTTTTTGTTATTTTTTAGTTTGTTTTTTCTTGTTTTTTTGGAATCGAGTATCATTAGAGAGACCTAATATTTATCTTGAAAATAAATAATATCTTAATTATTTTGTTTAGTTTAAGCATTATAGTTTATTTTTGTACTAAAGTAAAATTTTTGTTTATATCTTTATTAGTAATTTTAGTTATATATATTTATATATTATATATTAAGATATACTTAGATTGTAAAATACAAAATAAAAACAATATATAAAAATTAAAGCTTAGAGAACATTATCTGCAAACTAAACCAACTATAGTGATCAAGATCTATCTAAATTTATAATGCTAAAATATAATTATAAGATGTACTTTAATTAAATTAGAGTGTTAACTATATGTTAATTTTTTTTTTTTTTAATATTAATAGTAAGGCCATGCCTTTATCTTTATTAAATATTTAATTGAGATTTTACATAAAGTACAATTCTGTTTTTAAAATATTATAGATAGAATAGAAGCTCATACTAATTTATCTGCAACCTAAACCAACCAGAGTGGCCAAGGCTTATCTAGATTTGAGTGTTAGTAATTATGTATAAGTGATTAGTTTGATATTTAATCTATTGAATATACCAAGAGTTTATTTTTGACCTAATAGAATTGAGTAAGAGAGAATGTGATAAAAGTGAGGCAGTATATAAAGGTGTGTTATATTCAGAAGTTTGGGTTGTAGATTTTGAGATACAATATGGAATCCAGATTTTATAATAAATTTGTTGATTAAGATAAAGTAAAAACTTAATAACAAGTATTGTGGCTACTTTTTTGAATAACAGGTTTGCAATAATATCAATAAGTTCATTTGATATTAGACCTGTTAGAGTTAAAAAGATTGAAGATAAATCTGATATACTGTGAATAGTCATACTACTCAACAGCTTGATTTGGTTATATAAATTGGTTATAGTATTTGAAATAGTGTCGAGTGTTTTAGTGTTTAAAGTATGTTGTAGTAAAATGTCTATAAGGCTGTATAACAATTGATTAGATGGACAGGTTGTTCAGTAAAGATGAGAACTGATTTGATGACATTAGTAACAGATAGGTGAGTATAAGTAATATCATTTATGTAAGATGTGTGCAGTAGAAAGATCATCTAGTAGAATTTTGATTCTAAAGGATTTAAGAGTAGAGAACTGAAAGCTATGCAAGAAGTTTGAGAGCTTTTGGTTATTGTTAATATATAGCCAGGTAGCTTGCCAATTAACTTGGTTAAGGATTTTGTTCTATTTTAAAAAGCAGTGTTGTGTAATTCATAATGCATAAATATGTGCATGACATATTGTATAGATACTATGGCAAGTAGGTAATACTAAAAGAAGATTTTCAAGGTTTAAAGTATATGCAGGGCTGTAAATATTGTAGGGCATAAAGGTAAGATATAACAAATTGTAGTGGCTATATGCAAGTTGGTCTGCAAGGTTGTTGTACTAATCATCCTGATGAGCAGTAACTTTATGAAAAATAATATGAATATTGTATGATTTGACAAAGTTAATAAGTGTATTCTATAATGAGAAGTATAATGTGTGTGTATAAGATAAAGTTAAGCTGAGTTTGAAAGACTGTAATATTTAGAGATTACAGATTATGAGTCAGTATAAATATGTATAGTACAGTTTCTAGAAGCAGTAATCAGAGCTGTTAGGATAGCAGTAAGCTTAGCTTTAAATGAGCAAGGCCAGTATCTTATTTGGGCTTGGAAGGTAGGGATGTTAAGTGGTCTACGGGGAACCAGTTCGGACTAGGTCTTGACCAGACTTTTTAGAGACTAGTAGAGGCTAGTTCAGTATTGGTCTAAACCAGTTCAGCTCTCACATAATATGAACATAGTGTCATTTTTGACATATTAAATAAAATTCGATAAAATATGAATCAATAATGATACATTCTAAGTAGTGGTACTTTAAATAAAATTCGCTGATTGGATGTCAATGATAGGTACTTCCGATAGTTAAGTGTTAATTATACTTTCCACTTTTTGATTAATAATGGATTTGTAATTATTGCATAATATTACAGTATTAGTAAGTGCTGATGGGTTTTATTACAGTTTTCTTTGCTTTTGATCAAAATAATTGCTTGTAATTATAACATAAATATTACAGTATTAGTAAGTACTAATGGAATTAGTTTTTTATTTTTTGATTAATAATAAGTATAATTATATAAAGCTTTTAATGCTGTCTTGATGATTGTTATCTTTTGATTCATGACAATGGCATAGAAGTTGGAGCATAAAAGAATAAATATGAAACATTCACTTATTATCAAAATATGCAGATAGTAATGTTAAGTGAAACATTTAATGTTCATCACTATAAATTATATTAATTTAATCACTTAAATGATTATATTATAAATTACATCAGACTATAAAGTTACTAGTCTAAATTTTCCTATCTAATTAATGACAATTGCTCTTCTTTACCATATACAATTTGCATTTCAAGCCCAAATTTCTTTTGTGTTTTGTAATTGTTTTTTTTTTTTTTGTTGCAGTTGTGTTTGTTCAGCTACAATTTAATTTTTTTTTTGTTACGAATGTATTTGTTTGATTGCAACATGGTTTTTTTTTTTTTAAGCTTATAAATATAAAAGCAATGCTTTAAACAAAATTTTGAATTCTCAAGAATTTATTAGTCACATCATGTCTCTTAATAAACACTTACAAAATTCTGCATCTATCATTGATACACCTTGCTCAGACAAGGATTTAACTGTGTTAAGTAATGATTTTAACAGTAAAACCAATGCTGATTGATCAGAAGAACAATTTTTCAAGTGTGGTAAAAATGCGCATCCCATCTGAAGTTATTTTACACTATCTCAAGATAAAAAATCTATTACTTGCAGCCTGTGTTCTAAAATGCAATACAGTATTACCAGCGGTATTAGTATAATCAAATGGCACTTTGAAAGCAACCACATATTGGAATACCATCAAATGCTTCAGGTATTGCCTCTGCGAGTCATACAACAATATGGTATTCGAGATGAAAAAAAAATAAAAATGTTAAATAGGCTTTTGGTGTGTTGGATAGTCTGTAACCAACAACCATTTTGTGTAGTTGAAGACGAAGACCTCTGAATGTTTATTTCTGAACTTGACCCTCACTACAGACTTCTTTGTAGACAAACGATTTCGATTCATATTTGACAGTTGTATAAAAGAGATCATAGACAATTACAAAGCTTTTTTAAAAATTTTGAATACAAGGTGGTGATCATAACTGATGCATAGTCCACATGTACAAACCAAGCATTTCTTGCAATCACCTTGCATTGGATTAATAATAAATGGCAGCTGCGTTATATAATTTTGAACTTCATCTCTCTCTATGAACACCATATGGGTATTTTTTTGGCTGAAACAATTTTTTGAATAATTGAGGATTTCAGCCTAGGAAAAAAAATTTTGTCTATAACTGCTGACAATGCTAGCAACATGGACGTTTGTAGTAAAAGTTTTGCAAAGATATTGAAATATTATTATAATAATATTGCTTTCTGCTGGTTACGATGTGCTGCCCATATACTTAACCTCACTGTCATTAATAGTTTTTCTATAATTGATAAATCTACCAAAAAAGCATGAGATTTTGCAAGTTGTATTCGCCATTTCCAACCCTCTTAGAAGAACTAAAAAAAATTATTTCAATGAAAAATCAACTGTTTTTGGTGCCTGAGATTGATTGCGAAACCAGATAAAATTCGCTATATTTAATGTTAAACAAACTATATAAAATAAAAGACATGACAGATATATTAGTAGTTTCAATGCCTTATCTTAAAAAACAATATATGACCAATCAAGATTGGATTAATATTAAAGTTATAATAACATTATTAGAACCCATTTATGAAGCCACAAAACTACTTTCCTTCTCTACTTACTCAACAATTGGAGACATGTGCATGGTTTTTTTGTAATTATTATGCATCTTACTGAAGCTAAAAATAATCCAAATTCAATAAGTTTATATATGTCTGAAAAAATTCTTAAAAAACTTGATAAATATTGGAACAAATTACAATTCTCCCTTTCAGAAGCAGTATTGCTTGATCTGTTGTCTAAACTTTCTACCTATTACTCTAATTTTGAAAAAGAAAACATTTGTCAGATAATTAATGAAACTTATAGAAGTTATGCTCTCCTTGATCAAGAAATGACTATGCAGATTTTAGGATTGAATTAACTCAGTTCTTCTCATGATTACTTTCGAAATTAGTTAAAATGATCTTATAATAATATGTTAGTTAGTTGTAATGTGTTAGAAGAATATTTGAATATGCCTGATAAAAATATAGATGTACTTACTTTTTGGAAGTCAAAAACTTCAAATTTAAAGTAGGCACCTCTTGTTAAAATGGCTCAGGATTATCTGATTGCTCAGGCAACCAGTGTTCCGAGTGAACAGGCCTTTTCTCTCGCCAAACATACAATTAATGCATTGCGAAACCAATTGGAAAATGAAAAGGTTCATGCAAGTCTGTGTTTAAAAACATGGTATGATGCAGAGATTGTAAAAAATAATTTTGAACTTTAAAATTAGTATATAGTAATAGTATACACTTTTTTTTTTTTTTGTAATACTGTAATAACAGAGGTTTGTAATAAAAAAAATTTATTCTAAACTGCTAGGGTAGGACCAGTATAGGACCACTTTTTGACAGAGAGGTGAACTAGTTTTCAACTAGTCCTGGACCAGACTTTTTAGGGACCGGACTGGGACTGAACCAGATGCACCACTTAACATCCCTATTGGAAGGTATGTATTATATTGTTGTTTAAAATTTGGGCCCATTTAATGCCCATAGAGCATTGTGAAGTGCCCAGATTGATGACAGAGCCATCTGTATAAAAATGAAATTCTGATAGTTGTGCATTGTAGTTAGAAATTTGTTGAAGGTTGTTTGTTAAAGTACTGAGTTCAAATATTGTTAGAATTAAGTATGTTGTAATATTGATATTAGAAGGATTAGGAATTTGAATAGGATGTTAAATTGCAATAGAGTATATAAGGTCAAGGTGGTTGGTATTGAAGTTAAGAGTTTTGTTATATGTGTTGACTTGACCAAAGAATCTAGAAGAAAGATTGATAGGAATGTTGATTATGTATTTGTTGGCAATTGTGTAAGAATTGAAAAAGCAACTTGAACATATTTGTAAATAAATCAGTAAAAGTAGATATAAACGAGTAAATTGTTATTCTATATGGCATTGCCAATGAGTAATAAGGATAGTTCCTGAAGAAGAGGGCTGTCTTTTGACTTTGTCAGTAATGATTTGATTATCAAGTACTGTAATGAACCATAGTTTTTTTCTTAAAGAAAAGTGTCCAGTTGAATAACTGTAGTAGTTTGTATTTGGTAAGTATAGATGTTGATAAAGAGTGCAATTATATGAATGATTTGTAGTTTGGTCTTCTAGATAATTAAATCAGAGTGGCTGTTTGCCTTTAAAAATTTTGTTTATATGTGTAGATATGTGTTTTCAGTTTAAGAGGTATGAGTTATCAAATGCAGTTAGAGCTAAGTATACAGTGATCGATCTTGTAGAAAACAATCTTAGAAGATTATTCTTAACATCTCTAAGCCC